AAGAACAAAACCACCCCCAACACTTCTTGCAGATTTTAAATTCAGGCTGTTGTAACAGAACAGTAAAGGTACTGTTTTCACAGTGGCTATACCAATCTTTGAAACCAAAACCTTTGTCCTACTAGGACCACAATAGGTTAGTGTCTTTCCCCTGATGTCACTTTTTCAATAGGGATTTTAAACTTAGCCCGATTTGCTTCTCCCCTTCTTGCTAGGATGTACAGGACAAAATCAATTCCAAGCTCCCTCCCAGCATACATAAAGGAGGGATTTTGAAGAGGATTTTGAAGTCAGACAAGACCAGGTCAACATAACCCAACCGTGTACCTAGTATCAGGCCAGTCAGTGAGCCTGTGACAGAGTCTCAGCTTGCTCAGCTGAAAAGACGGGGCTGCTCTATAGATAGTACTGTTGCAAACAGAACTAGCTGGCATATGGCGTTCAAACAAGAGAGGAATTGCAATCCAGTTGCCCATCAACAGACAAACGAAGAAACAAAATGTTATCTACACATACAGTAGGATAATATTCAGTCTTAAAGAGGAAGGAAATTCTGACATGTGCTACGATGTGAATGGCGTACGTTAAGTGAAATAAGCCAGACACAAAAGGACAAATACTGTATGACTCCACTTAGAGTAGTCAAATTCACAGAGACAGGAAGCAGCAGGGGGGCTACCCGGGGCCCGGGGTCGGGGGAGTGAATGCAGGGTTAATGTGCACTGGGCACAGAGTTCTGGTTCTGCAAGAGGAGAAGAGCCCTGGAGCGGGACGGTGGGGCTGGCTGCGCAGCGATGCCGACGCACCCAATGCCTCCGAGATGCACACCTAAAATGGTAAAGCTTACATGGTGTGTATTTTACAATTTAAAAAATAATAAAGAAAAATCATTTTAATAAGTTAAATCCCATTGATAAATACTCTAAATGAAGTTTGATCAAAACATAGTATATAGTAAAACTACTACCTCCCTTTGTCTAGCTCCTATAATTACGTTAATACAAGTTTTTTTTAAATAAAGCAATATTTTTCAAAGTCTTGTCTGGAGGAAACTTGGGGAGCCCCAATGCCCTTTCGGAGGGTCCATGACAGGAAATTTCCGTAATAATACGAGCATGTCATGTATCCTTCTTACTCTCATGCTCTCATAAGCAGCTGTGGAGTTTCCTGAAGGTTCCACATGAGCTGCCACACAGACTGAATGCAGAAGCAGCTCAGAGAACCAGCCGTCTCTATTAAGCCAGACGTGAAAGGGGTTTGAAAAATGTAAAACAATGTTACTCACTCACTAAATTGTTTAAGGAAAATAAAGTTTTGTTTAAAAATAAAAATGTTATGTACACTAACATGGGCGTGTTATTTTTTAAACGGATTAATATTTTAAAATTTCAATTTCTAGTAGGGTAAATATCAATAGATAGAGATATAATCCATATTACCTAAAACCCTGAAGTCCTTAATAATTTTTAGGAGTGGAAGAGAGCCTGGCCCAGAAAGCCTGAGGGTCACAGTGATTAAGGGACCCTGCGTGAGCGGGACAGCCAAGGCCCCCGGGTCCGCTCCAGCAGTCCTTGACTGGAACCGGGTTCCCAGAGGCCTCTAACAACCAGAGAAGGATGGCTATCAGCCCCACGCCGCTGAGAAATGGCTCGATTAGCTCCTCCCTTGGGCCAACAGTCCTCGTTCTCAAGGTGGGGTTCCAGCACCAGCCAGTCAGCATCATGTAAGAGCCTGTTAGAAATGTGAATCTGTTGGCCCCAACAAAACCTACTCTATCAGGGCTCTGGGGCTGGCGTCCAGGAATCTAACCTGCCATTCTGATGACATTGGGGATCACTGGGCTCGAGAACACGGTCAGTCAAATCTGGGAGGACCTCGTCAGGCAGTTAATAAGCATGTGAGTCACTTGGAGGACCTTGTTAAAGTACAGATTCTCACTGGGTAGATAGCAGAGGGCCCAGGAGTCTGGATTCCCAGCAAGCTCCTGGGCGATGTCGGGCTGCTGCTCCCTGCACCTTGGTGGAAACACCAAGCCCGTCCTGTCCAGCAGCTCTTAGCCCTGGCTGAATTATTAAGGTTCTGATGAAGGTTAGGGACTCTTTCTCTGGAAAAATTTGTGCATACATTAAATTCTGTGGGCAGTTTCAAGATGTCCCAGACCTTCCGGAACTCGCTTTAAGGATCACTGACAATTTTGCTGGAAACTCTCAGCTCCCCGGACGTGTATCCCTGGATTAAGCAAGTTTTACACGTAACTTCAGCCATTTGTCTCTTGGGCTGGAATGTCCTTCTCTCTCATATCCACCCATCCAAATCTTACTCATCTTCCTGGGTCCAGTTCAAATGCTCTCTCCTTTGGTAAAAATTAGCTGCGTTTTCTTACGGGCTCCCATGAGTAGGCTGTACCTCATTACAGTCCTTTATGCTACCTCATCCTCCAGGCACCTGTCACCTGTCTGTCCCCTTAGGAATTGTTGAAGCCTTCAGGGGTTGTTCCTCATCTCTAGACACCCTCCCAGAACTGTCACATAATAGATGTGTAAGTATTAGTTAAAAGAGATAATGAACAGTAACTCTTCACAGGTAACACTAGTCAAAACATTTCCATGTTTAAATATATTTGTAACGCTCAATCCCTCGTTACGAGGCACCTTTGCTTTGCAGCAGACAGGAGTCTTCTTACCAATATTCAGTTCAAAAGGATGAAAAAGAGAAAAAAGAAAAAAGAGGTAGAAGAGGAAAAAAGTGGGCCCCCAACCCCACACCCTCCCTCTCCTGGACTACCCGCACGGGGCAGCCAGCGGTGGGGGTCTGCTGTAACCGGCACGCAGGGCGTGGGGGCTGGGTCAGGGAGGAAGGCAGAGGGCTGAGGAGCGACTTAAGACGTGTGGGGCATTTGGGTGATGGCCAGGGCCTCTGGGAGGGAAGCTCTGGGCACACAGAGCGCAGTGGGAGGGAGCTGGGCTTTTGGGTGGGAGCCAAGCAGAGCCAGAGATTCAGAACTGGTCAGATAACAGGTGACAGGGACCCAAACACCAGGTTCCTAATTTTGTGTGGGACTCCGTTCCCTCCTCAGTTCCCAAAAGCCGAGGAGCTGCCTCTCAAGAACCTGGAACCAGCCCTTTGTTTCCCTCCCCCTCACCGGATACTTCTCCGGTGTGAGCTGTACCTGGGTGCGGCAAACACCTGGGAAAGGGCACAGGCAGGGCCTCACATCCGGGACTGGGCTTCCGATTTCCAGTCCGGCTGAAAGGGTTTTCACGGGGCCGTCTCTGATGGGGCGATGAACCTACAGCGGTTTTCCACTACCGCTGACACCAGCTGCAACTTGGGGCTCACTTTGCAGCCTTTGCACCAGGATCCCTAGGTCCTTCTGGTCCCGCTCCCCCAGATCTCATTCCAAATACGTCAGTCTCTCACAGTCCCCACACTTCACCCTCACTGTTCCCTTCCTGTTGTCATCCTCCTGTCCCTTTTTTCCTTTATTCATCTGTTATGGGCTGACTTGTGTCTCCTAGAAATTCCTATGAAGTCCTGACCCCTAGAAACTCAGAATGTAATGGTATTGGGAGGTATGACCTTTAAGGAGGTCATTAAAAAGAGGTCTTTAGGGTGGGCCCTAATCCACTGTAAAGATGTCCTTATAAGAAGAGGAAATCTGGACACACAAGGATGTACCATGTGAGGACACATCAAGAAGGGGACCATCTACAAACAAAGGAGAGGGGCTTTAGGAGAAACCAACCATGCAGACACCTTGATCTCTGACTTCTGGTCTCCAGAACTGTGAGACCATACTTTTTGTTGTTTAAACTTCGAGTCCATGGTATCTTGTTGTGGCAGCCCTAACTGACTCATACACCATTTAATCATACCTATCCTTCAAGATCAAGACTACTCAGACTAATTAAAGTCATTTTGATTCTATTCAAGCTGAAGGCAGCTTGCTCTTCTGACACTCTGGGCTGTGGCTCGGACGGGCCCTGGCTTCAGTAGAGGATGTGATCCATCCACCATATTTTCATGATGTTGTTGGAGGCTTCTGGTGTCTTTCTGAATGAGTCAGGTTATTGCTTAAATAAAAAAACTTCCTCTTTTGAGGCATCATCTTATCTCTTCAAGTCACTCGCCCAATTAGAACTGGGGTGGTTATGACCCTCGCTGAAAATGGTACCACCATCGAGCATCAGAAAGCAAGAGTGGGACGAGAGATGTGGCCAAATGCTTTTGGGCTCCTTATTCATAATTTGATCCACTCTTCTCTCTTTAGAGTGTTAAAGAAAACTTCTTTTATCCTTTCTGGATTACCCAGATGTAGCCGGACATTAGGATCCAGAGCCCACAAATAATGACTAGCACGTGCCCCCCAGCTGAGGTCAGCTCCAAGGTGGAGGGGCAGGCCAGTGATGCTGACTTATGATGCTGGTCTCACTGAATCCCAGTGACACGTGGCAGTGACACCTCAACACACATACTACCTGAGCTCCAAGGGATATCTTGGGTTTTATGGCACATAGGCTAACACCTAGAAACCCCCCATATCTCCCAAAGCACACTAGGGGTCAGTGCAGGGCTTTTAGGCCCTGCTGCTCCCTGTAATCACAAACCTTACTCCTCAAGAAGCCAAGATGCCAGGTCCCTGGCAAGAGGCCAGGAGCTGTCACCAACAAGAAATTGGTTCTACCACTCTCTCAATCAGAGAATTTAAGAGCTCCAAACTAGCACTCAGCCCCCGACTCCACAGTTTCGGGGAAGCAGGAAAACCTGGTGAACCCCCACCCCCTACTCCCGTTCTCCTCGCCACCCCAAGTACATGCACAGAGAAACGTGCCATCACCCTGGAAGGACAAGCTGAGCTCCAGAGTCAGTCTCACTCACCTAAGCCGATCTGTAAAGTCATTTCTGACTAATGCCAGGGGACAGAGATACATCAAGTCAATGGGGAGAAGGGGAGAGAGGGGGGAAAGAAGAACAATATCTTGCTGTGGCCCCAGACTTACCGGTTCTTGGAAATAGAGGTAGTAACCAAAAATAGGATTGGTTTTGCTTAACTCTGTTAAGGTCACTTTGGAGACTGCCAGCATTAAGGGAGTATTCAAACTTGCCACTGCCCTATGGAAAGAAGAGACACCAAGACACAGACCTTGTAGACAGTCTGCAAGAACCAGAGAGGACCTTACATGTCAAACCAAGGCTGGAAGCGGGACAGTGATGCACACAAGCTCTTAACTAGCTGTGTGTGGGAGAAAGGGGTCCACACTCAGATTTCTTGACTCCCAGCCCAGTGTTCTGCATACCCGCCCCCCACACCCCGGCCAATACACTGCAGTATTTCTCACTTGCCTTGGATGAAGACAGACAGACCACCCCCCACACACCACACACACACACACACACGTGCACGCACACACACTCTACATTCAGTATATCAACTTTGATTAGGATATGTGAACAATACAATCTCTCCCTAGTTTTTAGCATTCATTTTTTTCCTTCCCTCCTTCCTTCACTCTCTGTGTTTCTTCTGTGTTGACTATAATTTCACACTATATAGAAGGGGAAAGAAAATATAAAGTCAATACTCAAGGAGCTTATTATAATTTAACAAAGAAGGCCATAAGAATAGCACAGAATACCACAGGTGTTGAGGGGGATAAGAAATTTCTGGATTTGGGCATCATGGAAGCCCTGATGGAAATCTGAACTTGGCATCTAATACAGTAGGTAGAGTAACCTTGTTGTGAGTCCAGTTATTAAGAACTGAGCTCTTATTTTGATTTTGAATGAGAGAGAAAACAGAGGGAGAAGGTAAAGAGACCAGAACAATAAGAGTGTGAACAATTTTAAGATATTTTAGAAAATGTTAGATTCTTCTTGGTCTTTGATATCATTCTACCATTTGAGCTGTGGCTGAGTTGAACCAAGTTCTCCAGTGTTTCCAATCTTATAAATTTAGCCAAATAAAAAGTAACTGGATTAATTAGGGAAATATATATGGCTGCTAAGGGTAATGTTTGTTTCATTTGCTAAGATTTCCAGCTGAAATGGAAGGTCAGACAAGTACTAGTTTTGGTTGCCACTTCAAGTGGAATGTAGCTGCAAAAGAACACTCGCCTTTCTGGGTTCCACACCCACCCTCTGAAGCCCCTGCCAGTGCTCTGAAGTGCCTTCTAAGAATGATTATGCATCACGTGATGATGATCATGAAATGTCATGCTAGCCTGACATCTGTACTCCAGTGTGCAGGTTGTATGGTCAGTAGGAGTTAGCATTACCATTTTGTGGATGAGGAAACCAAGGTCTAATGGGGGAAATGATTTACCACACAGCCCATTCATGACAAAACTGCAAGCCACCTTTTTTGACCCCCCCATCCAGGACTAGAGTCTCTCCTGGTGCTTAATTCTATAAACCCAACACCCCTGCTGCTTCCTCCACTCTCCCAAAGTCGGCCATGATTCTCCTGCAAGCCCCCTGAATAATCTGTCCCTGAATTATTCGTTGCACTACCAGTATTTGGGTCAGGCCTTGCTTTCTAAGACATTAGCTCATTAAATCTTCCTTGTTAATGTGTCAATGGGCACTAAGGAGTTAAGGTGGTACCTTCCCAGATAACTTATTTGTCTCCGGTAAGTTTTCTGGGGTTCAAGACCCAAGGATGGATTTGAATGGGAATTCAGTCCCAGTCTTGCCCAAATTCTTATTGTTGACAGTCTAATTACCTCATTCTCTCAGGGTAGAAGAGAGCCATGTTCCACGCCAGAATGCTTCCCCAGTTGTGGCCAATGAACACCGCCTGAAGGATGCCCTAGCAAAGGATAAAGAAGGAAGGTGAATGCAGGCAGGTCTCTGGGATGAGGTGCTGAGATCCCGAGGCCTGTCTTCTCCTCTGGCCCAACCCTCAGACGCAATCCTTTCATTCACTCCCTGGGCACTCACACGCGGACCATGTGGTATAAGATCATTACAGCATCAGGACTGGGGTGGCCGCACTCGGCCATGCTCTCTTTGATGTCCCCAGCATACTCGAAGTCCCAAGGCCAATTCCAAGGGACTGAGACTCGGCAGAGGTCAGGGACCACGACATTTCCACCTCATTTACTAGTGCCTGGCATGGCGCCTGGCTGTTGTCGTGGGACTCCTTAGTCCTCAGTTTCTCCCCTTGACTCTCATATCCGCTGACAGGCGGTACAGCCCGCTGCTTTGAGGCTGTGTTGGCTACACCTGCACTACCAGTGTTTTCATTCCACACCGTGACCCAGCTGAGGATGGGAGGAGGGGGTCGCTGAGCTGTGATCTCAGGAATAGCACATGTGCTCTGCAAAGGCATATTCACAGATCACTGTTGTTGATTGGCTTTGAGTTTGACATCTCAAATGATGGTAAATGAAGGCATTTGATTTTAGATATTTCAAAAGATAATTAAAAGTTGTGAAATATTAGTCTATAGGATATTTTCTAAACTTTTTGACTCAAGCCAACATAAGTATCTTATTTCCTGAAAGATGCTTTTCATGAAACAAAAAAACCCCAACAAAACAAACTGACCTCTGCACTGTTCTTCAAAATCTCTGCCATCTCTGTCTTTGTAATTCCACCTGGTCAGACCTCCCTGCCCCCTTCCGTTGTCCCAGAGTGAGCCTTCCCAGCCCCTCGCTGCTCCCCTTGAGGGCTCCAACGGCTGACACCTTGAAGGGCTTACATCTTGTCTTTACTTGCCCAGACACACACAGAATTCTCCAAAGAGATCAGTTCAAAATTATTACTTACCAACTTATCCAGGAAAGTTACCATATCCTAAGAAAGAAAACACACAGACAATTCAGAAATTATATCCACCCACCTCAGCTGCTGCAAGATTAGGTTACTGTATCTGCCTTTGTTATGAACTGAATTTTGTCTCCCTAAAATTCACAGGTTGAAGCCCTAACCCTCAGTACCTCTGAATGTGACTGTATTTGAAGACAGGGTCCTTAAAGAGGTGATAAAGTTAAAATGAGGTCATTAGGGTGGGCCCTAATCCAATCTGACTGGCATCTTTATAAAGAGATTTGGACACTGACAGGTACTGAGGGAAAACTACGTGAAGACACAAGGAGAAGAAGGCCTTCCTCAAGCCTCACCTAGAAGCCTCAGATAAAAAACGTGCTGGTACCTTAATCTCAGACTTCTAGCCTCCAGAATGGCAAGAGAATAAAATCTGTTGTTTTAGCCACTCAGTCTGTGATACTCTGTTATGGCAGCTCGAGCGCATTAACACAACATTCGGTCATTTCACTAGCTTTTGAGTTCTCTCCCTTCCCTTTCCAGCATCCTCTCAGGAGTGGCAGAGCGGAGGAGGCAAAGACTTGGAAACTGAGGGAGGAAAAGGAACTCTAACTGGAAACTAGGCTTTTACCTGTGCTGCCCTTATGAGATGCAAAGGCTGCATGTGGCGCTGGCTGGAGGGAGCTCCAGGCAGAGTTCTGATGCTGAGATGGAGGCTTTTTGTAACTTTAGTGCAATCGGCAGCATTGTTAGTTTTCTGTTTCTCCCCCTTGGCTCCTCCCACCTTTGCTTTTGTTCTAAGGAGGTCTGGGTCACAGACTCCCCTCCCCTTTGCCCCATTCTCCCCTTCCGGCTCTGAGATGAGGGTTCCCCTCCCTGATGGTGCTTATGCCTGTCTTAGAATAGTCACTGATCCACACATTGACCCTTAGGTCTGGCCACCAACATCTTTACCAAAATATAGTGATTTTTTAAATTCCCAGGATTAAAAGACAACATGGTGGAGTGGTTAAGAGAAAGGTTGTGCGAGCTATTGTAGGATTCAAACTTGGCTCTACTGGCTGTTGATTTCTGGTAATTACCTCCCTGTGACTCAGTTTCCTCTCCCATCAAATGCTTAGAGCAGTACTTGATATACAGCAAACTTTTAGTAAGACTTTATACCTAAATGCTGTGAAATGATATTTTTCTGAGATTGAAATGAACACCCACACTTCTGTCTTATATCAGTAAAAATACCAAGATGAAAAAGATGTTACAGATGTTACCCACAGATCCTTCTTACCTCGCATAACACTTTCAAGGAATATTCTTCTATTTCTGCAATTAAAAATAAAAGAAATACATTCAATATTCAGGAGTAAAATTTACCAACAGCTAAAAGGACCCCTTTACCAAAACAAACCCTTTTACCTTGTTAAATTCTCAGATTGATGTATTCCACTTGTTTTTGTTTTTGTTGCCTGTGCTTTTGGTGTCATAGCCATGAAATCATTACCAAGACAAATGTCATGAGGCTTTTCCCCTATGTTTTCTTCTTTCAGTTTTAGTTTCAAGTCTTACATTTAAGTCTTTAATCCATTTTGAGTTGATTTTTTGTAAAAATAAGGTATAAGATAATGGTCCAATTTCAGTCTTTTTATGTGAATATCTAATTTTCTTAGTGTTTTTGTTCTTTCATGTTCTTGGCACTCTTGCCAAAGATCAGTTGACCATATTTGTGTAAAATAAGTGTGAATTTATTTCTGGGCTCCATATTCTGTCTTTATGGCAGGACCGGACTGTTTTGGTTACTGTAGCTTTGGAATATATTTTGAAATCAGAATGTGTGAGTCCTCCAGCTTTGTTCTTTCTCCAGATTGATTTGATTATTGGTCTTTTGTGGACCTTTATGAATTGTAGAATTGCATTTACTTTTTCTGTAAGAATATGCTACTGGGACTTTGATAGAGATTGCACTAAATCTGTAGATTGTCTTGGGTAGTATGAACATTTTACCAATAAAAGCAATTCCAGAAAGAAAAAGAAAAAAAAAGAAGAAAAATTACCAAAAAGTAATTCAAGAAAATTTCCAAGAACTTAAAGATAAACATGTCTAGCAAAGTAGATGAAAAAGACCTATATCATAGAACAATATCATAAAATTTTAGAACAGGACAGATAAAAAATAATATCCTAAAGTGGCAAGGGTAAGAAAGGAAAAAAATGGTTACGTAGGAAGATTTATGTATCAGAATGGCATGGGATTTCTCAGTAGCAAGAAAGAAAACTAAAAAATAGTGAGACAAAAGCTTAAAAATTTTAGGAAAAATAATTTGTTACTGAAAACTTATTAACAAATGCTGTGAAATTTATGCACAAATGATCTGAACTGGATTCGTATGTATTCCAAATCATTATGCTTGGCTTTAGAATTTATGTTATACAAAATCCTCAACAATAGTTAACATGTAAATTATGGTTTCCTTAAGAAATTATAATTAGGGCATGACCATAAGTCCCAGTTTCAGTTTAGGTGTGTTATTATTAATAGTTCCTCTTTTTACTTTTAATAGTGTTCCAGTTTGAATGATAAATTATATTACTAAGTTATACCTAAGGAATTCAGGAAACATTGCAATATAGATGAATGAAAATAGACATTTTAATAATTAAATTTAAAAAACAACATAGGTGCCTTTCCTGGGTGTTTGAACTGAAGGGTATACTTCTGTCTGAAATGCTTCTGCACCAGTCAGCCTCATAAGCACCAGCTGAATCAACACCATAACACTTGGCGGATGATTACGGAGGCACTCCCCTGCTGTGACGAGCTGAGCGGCCTGGTTGATGGCCCCCTGAGTGACCAATAGCCTCAATCCACATCTGCTGGCTTAAAACTCAACATAACAGGCTTAATGTGAATATGGGGGAAGCAGCTCAGAAAAGGGGTGTTGAACAGCGGGGTTGGCTCCCTAAGCTAATACTGCTAACAGCGTTGCTGACACCTGAAGGGACCAGGAGTTTGCTGCACACCTGGCTGCTGCATCATGCTCCTGCCTCCATACCTGGGATTCTGAAAACAGTTTTGGGCTGAAGACCCCTCTGAAACTGATTGAAACAATGAAAAGTGCTCTGAAACCCACATGTGGCCTCAGGGGTTCACAGGCCCCCTGATACCCATCCTTGGATAGACTCCCACTGGGATCCACGGATGCGGGGTTAAGAATCTAACCTACAAATTACCATAGGATCTAGCAATTTGACTTCTGGGTATATAACACAAAGAATTGAAAAGAGGGACTCAAACAGATATTTGTGCACCCATGGCTATAGCAGCATTATTCACAGGAGTCAAAAGGTGGAGACAACCCAAGTGTCCACCAATGGATGAACAGATAAATATGGTATATCCATTCAATGAAATATTATTCAGCCTTAAAAAACAAGGAAATCGTGATACAACATGAATGAACCTTGAAGACATTATGCTATGTGAAATACACCAGTCACAAAAAGATAAATAATGTTTGATCCACTTACATGAGGTCCCTAGTGTAGTCAAATTCATTGAGACAGAAAACAGAAGGGTAGTTGCTAGGGACTGGAGGGAATAGGGAATGAAGAGCTTTTGTGTAACAGGTACAGAGTTTCAGTTCTGCAGGATGAAAAACGTTCTGGAGCTGGATGGTACATCCTACACTCCACATCCCCATCAACCAGCAGGAGACGCTCACAGGGCTCAGGCCCCTGCACATCTTGTATGCTTTCAGAGTAGGAGGAGCAGAGACATCCGGGACCCAAACTGTGTAGACAGAGGACACTGCAGGAGAGGGGAGACGCAAACTCAGACCCCCTTGAAGGACTGCCTGCTCTGACCTGAGACCAGGGGAAGGCGGTGAAGCTGGAGAGCTGAGACAGTCAGGAAGCATGACAGCAGAGCAGAGTGGCAAGCCAGCTAACCCACCGGGAGGAGCAGACGACTCTCCATAGCCTTTCAAGTCCAGAGCTAGAACCCGGAAACCCGCCTGGGCCAGAGCAGGAATCTAGAAAACAAACAATTCAGGTACACTCCAGTGCGGTCTTATAAGGGTTCCCACTGACACTCCCTCTGTTTCCTCTATCCCCCTCTTCTTGTAAATGGCTCAGTCCCAAGTGCCATGTGACATTACTTGGTATCTTCTCCATGGAACGAGCCCACCTGGATAGGGCTGCCATGGACAGTGGTAGAGTCTGTGAGCACTGCATCTAATGTTGCATCTAAGAGCATGCCTTTCTTAACAAAGACCATGCAGATTTCTGTAATCATTACAAAGACTTCCAGGAGGCTGCCTTTTTTTAATCTGCAAAGGTAGCGTATGGACTAGCAGGGCCCTGAGGTCTAGAGAACTCTCCAGTCCCAACATTCCTGAGGTATCATGGCCATACTTTGGTTTTAGCTTCTGAAAGACATTCAGGCTGAGCACACCATATAGACGTTCTCCTTGCCTCACCCCGACTGGGGCGAGCCTTCACCCAGTTTTCCTTACCTGGTACTTCCAAGAGAACCAGCTCTCAGGAAATCCATGGCAGAGGCACACAGCAGGGCCAGAGCCCATCTCCACAAAGTGCAGATGCACCCCAGGCTGTAAAAGAGAGAGGTGAGTAGGAAGCGATCACCGCGCCGGGCTGGGCAGAACCAGGCTCCTCTTCTGCCAACGGCCTGGGCCATTTTAGTGTATTTCCAGATCTGTATGATGAAGGTTTCTCAGCCTAAGACCCCAATGCTAGAAGATGTCTGAAATGAGACAACTGGCCAAACTGTGCAATAAAAAACACGTGGTTTTTTAGTGTAACTTATTTAAGAAGCTTGAATAGATTATTAAAAAAAACAAAACAACACAACTTTGCCTCCTCCTTAAAAGGCCCTTATACTGTCAGAGTTTCTGGTGTGATCTGTCATGTTTTCAATATTTAAAACCTGAGACTAATCTCGTGCAGAGCATAATATTCATGCTAACATGCAGAATACCATGATTATTTTGTTAAAAAGCTGTTTATCTCTTGAATATGAAGTTTTTCCAAGTTTGCTATACTTCTCGTTCTTTCTGGACTACATGGGTGTGGCAGAGGCTGCTGGGGCTCAATACTTGTGTTCCTCTCTTCTCCCTGGCACACAGTGACATTTTCCAGACCTCCCCACACTTTCCTGCAGTGGGTGTGGCCACATGACTGAGTTCGGGCCAATGGCATATGAGTGGAGGAAATGTGTGCTACATCCACGCCTTCTACACTGGTCCTCCCTCTTTTTCTGTCTACCTGAATGGACTGGGCCTTGAGAAAGGTAGAATCAGCAGAAGGAAGGAGCCTGTTTACTTGAATGACTGCGTGGAGAGAGCCCACCGTCTGTGCTGTGCAGGAAACAGACTTGGTATTCAGCCCCTGAAAGCTGGGGCTGCTCGTGACAGCACTTAGCCTCCTCTGCCTATTACATGGGGTCTAAGCAAACCAACTAAAGCAATATGTAGTCACCATATAGTCTATTTTCCCCAAACATGCATATCTCCAACCTTCTAATGGAAATGGAGGAGAAAAATGAGCTTCCCATTATAGAAATTCACTTGAAACAATTGTTTTGCTGCACCTCAGACTTTGGCAAGCTGGTGTCCCAGACTGGACCTCTCAGTCATGATCCCCAACAAGCTGTTTTGCTCAAGAAAACACTAGGCTGACCTTCCGCAAACCCTTTCACAGACTACAATCTTTTTATAGGAATTATGTTCTACAATCTTCCCTTTAGTACTTGGTAAATGGAGGGAATTTAACTTTAAATTCCATATTCTTTATATTGAAAATGTTATAGTGCTGATGTCCAATCAAATGATCCTCATCTGCCTCTGTTCTAAATGGATCCTAACTAAAGACTTGTTCAGCTGCTTCGTATTTGACCCAGCTGAGTAGCTCAGCAAATGCATATGCTTTCCCATCCTTTAAATATGTTAATAAAATTGCCATAAGGCCGGGAAAACAAGAAAGATCTATTACAACCCAGTTTGGGTTGCATTTGTGTCCAGTGAAGATGAAAGCAAGAGCATCCCCAAGCCCGGGCTCAGCTGGGGTTCCCCAGAGGTCACTGCCCCAGCCGCTGAATTTGAAGTGGTGGCAGGGGGTTAGGAAGCAGTTCTGACCACCCTCCTTCAAGGTTAAATGAGGACTCTATTGAAACTGGCTGGATACGCAAGCATTGAGAGGATGACAGGAATAACCTTGTCCATGGGGTTAAAGACACAAGGTTACAGCCCAGACTCCAGGCCCATGCAAAGGGCCCCTTGCTCTTCATCAATATAGAGATGAGGTCTGAAGGGACGTTATGAAATGCTCCCCCCGCTTTAGGACCACCCAGGGTTACAGGAGGAGCAGCACTGATGCTGACTCACAGCTTCCAGTACCACTTTCTTACACTCCAACTCCCACTCATCCTTTGATGCCCACTTGACCATGTCGGCTGAGTCCCACTGCGGGCACTTGGGGTGGCTGCCTGCCCCCCTCACAGAGCCCGTTCTGAGTGCTCCAGGGCACTGCTCTAAGGCCACACCTCATCCTCCGATGTAACCACAAGGGCTTTGAATGTTTATCTCAGTGGACCGTAAAATTCCTCGGGTCACGGAAGACCCTCCACTCATCTCGGTATTTCTCTCTGTGCCCATCCCACAGCAAATGCTCAATAAAAGTCTGCAGGCTTGTCCTCCAGGGCTGCAGGTCTCCCATGATCTGCAGACCTGCTCAGATCAGGCCAGCGCTCCTCTTCGTCAGCTCCTTTGCCTGTGGTCTGTGAATTTTAATTCATTCTTACAAGAACATTGAGGGAAGTACAATTGACCCTTGAACCACACAAGTTTGAACTGTGTGCATTAGTAGCCTGTTGTTTCCTGGGAACCTGGCAATGTTGGACATACCACTTCGCATGTCCCAAGGCATGGTCCGTGTCTTCCCTTGATTTTTGAGAAATAATACTCATGGGAAATATGATTTCCTTATAAAAAGTGGCTATTCAACTACCCTTGATATTTAACAAATGTCTCTGTGAGTCATTTTAGGCGACCTGTTTAGAAAACACTCAGCTGGCCGAGAGAGAGTGCTCACTTACCTTTATTTGCACATACCCATGGCTCACATCACTTGGACAGCATGGGGTTGGGAGAGGGGCTGCTGTATTGAGAAGCTGCAAGTAGAAGATACACAGTGAGAGGTATATTGAGAGAGGTGCCTGCAGCTTCCTTCCATGACTGCAGCTTCCTTCCATGAGGGGTTCTCAGAGTGAGTTTCCGGAGCTCCAGCGTGCGGGCACCAGAGGGGAGCTCACAGATCCCCTCTGCCACGGTCCTCTGAGTCGTTCCAGTGACTCGCCAACCCATCATCCTCTCCCATAGTGTCATCATCTCATTATAAAGCTGTGAACGCTGAGAACCAGAGTGTTAAGAAATGTACCTAAATTTTCCAGCTTAGTAAATGCCAGGATTCAGACTGGCTCTATTTGATTAGAACACAGCTAGACTTAATTTCACCTTCCTTTCAGTTCCACGGAGGCCCCTGATTGAGCTATGACCAGTGAAATGCAGACAGACGACTATGGCCCATCGGCTTGGCCCATGGAAAGCCCTACCCAATCCACTACGGGCTCTTTTCCCTGTTTTCCAGCTGAGTGTCTGGTGTGACCTACAGGAAGTGTTAGCCTGTCAGTCTAGCGTGGGAAAAAGATGGGATTGACTGGGGAACTGGACCCTTCCGGAATGTGCAGAATTTTAGGCCAGAAGATTTAAACAGAGGGAAGGGAGAAACATGCCCCTTCTTCCCCTCACTGGCCCTGTCACTGGCTCATGCCAAGGCTGAGTTGTGCCCACTGGGCTGCACCCCAGGGGACATGTGCCCTAGCAGTGACCTGCGGAATGCAGTGGCATCTTCCACCACTGCATGGATGGTCCCAGACCATGCTCACCTCTTCCTCTGGGCTGCTCAGCATAGACAGGTGGGCCAGAGCACTCACAGACCGGCAGGCCCTGGAAGTCATGTGGCCAGGCAGCAGGTGACAGGCCCCTGGCACGAGAAGCTGTGGCTTGGTGATGGCAACGTGGGCCCCACGCATATACTACAAGGAGCCTGAAGCTTGACAGCACCCCCTCTAACAGCCTGTGCTCCAAAGGACAGATAAGATGGAGTGAGATTTCTAGTCATGGTTTTGGGTTTCTGTCTTTTCGGCAACAAATGGGTTTTTCCTGTGTGTTGCAAAAGGGAGGAGCCCGGAGCCAGGGGGTCTTCTGGTTCCCCACACTGTGCAACATTTTCATAAACACCTTTTTCCTTCCCCACCAACCAGTCTTCGGAATATGCCTGTGTTTGGTGGGTGGGCAGCCAAACCCCACTTTTGTTCTGTAACACTTGGGCAAGGTGCTTTAAGGTTATGAAGTCGTTAAGATACACATTTTTATTTATTTGTTAACGACAAAAAGTCAGTCATTCTGAGCGAAATTTTATCTCCTTCTGTTGAAATCCTAACCCTCAGGACTTCAGAATGCAACTACATTTGGAAATTAGGTCTTTATACAAGTGGTTAAGGTTAAAAGAGATCACAGGGATGGACCCATTAGAGTCCAGTTTGACTGCTGTCCTTATAACTAGAGGAGATTAGGAGACATGCAGGGATAGACCATGTGAAGACCTAGGGAGGGAGAGGGTAGTCATCTACAAGCCCCGGAGAGATGCCTCAGAAGAAACCAACCCTGCCAACACCTTAATCTTCTAGCTTCGTGGTGAAACTGCTGTTTCAGACACCCAGTCTGTGCTATGTTCTAACAGGCCTACAAAATGATATAATTCCCTTTGAGAGAAGTTGTGACACCTTTGAAGTCCACCTAGCTCAATCAAGTGTATGGATTCCCTCCTCCCTCCTACCCCATTACACCGACAACCTTCAGCAAAACACAGCATTACTGCAAACGGTTTATGTAACCGTCACTCCTTGACTCAGTGGGATGGGTGGTCTTAGGTAAGCTCAAAAGAACAAAAAGTGCCTCAGCTTTGACAGAACAGGCTAGTTCCCATGCACCTCCTACCCCAGGGCAGGGGGCAGTCATTAAGGACATTCTACTCTCAATGAGAAGAACAGTTTTTACTCAAAAGAATTCCTTCAAGCTGACATGAGGGCGTGTACCAGGAGAAGCCGAACCACCAGCGGCAGGACCAGGCACACAATGTAAGGATTGGGCTCCGTACCTCCACTGGGGCAGACCTAACAGCTAAAATCTCAATATTCACTCTAAAAAGGAGAACTGGTTGGCTGGGAACCCCACTCTTGTCTTGGTTCCTCCGACTCTTGACTAGTACAGATTCTTGCCCTCAGGGCATTGTTTCTCTGTTCATTGACTGCAGGGAATGGAACAAGATGTTCTTCAAGGACATTGTGATGACTGCACAATAGGTAACGAATTCTCACCCAAGAGGTCTGTTCCTGAGAACCATGACTTGAGCAATGAACTGTCTGAACACCAGATTCTCCTCTTGTTTTGTCTTGTGTACCCAAACATAGATGAGTGCAGGATATATGGCTCGGCGCACATACACAGTTACCTGCATCCCAGTTACTTCCTCCAACTCTTGCAGGGCGACATTGCTGTCACGAACGAGGATGGTGATCATTCCCAAATCACGGGCTGGCTTCAGGTTATCCTCCATGTCATCCAAAAAAACAACCTGAATCCAAATAGCATGGACACTAGCATCACTTCAACCAAGGCAAATCTCATGTATAAGGGACAATACCAGAAAGGAACACAGTCAAATGTGAATAGAGGCGCCCTGGCCAATGTGGCTCAGTTGGTTGGAACATTGTCCAGTAAACCAAAAGGTCTCAGGTTTGATTCCTGGTCAGGGCACAGGCCTGGGTGGCAGGTTCAGTCCCACTCAGGCACATATAAGAGACAACTGATTGATGTTTCTCACATCAATGTTTCTCTCCCTCCCTTTCTCCCTCCCTTCCTCTCTAATACCAATAAGCATGTCCTCGGGTGAGAATTTAAAAAAATGTGAATAGTGGCTATTTTATGAGATGAGATTAAAATAATTTTTATTTTCATTTAACTGTTTATTCTTAAAATTAAAAACATTTAATTACATAAGCGTCATATAAACACACAGATATGTGTGTTCCCACATACATCTACTGGTTTCAGCCTGAATTCTGAAATGGTGAGAAGGTTACGAAAGAATATAAATTATCAGAATGACATTAAAATTCATCTAGAAAAATCAACGTGTATGAATGGACAAGAAATAAATCTGGACAAGAACCATAATAAAGGCAGATAAGAAAAATGCACAAAGCTACGAAAGGTAAAAAAAAGTTTGGTATTATAAAAGAAATAGACAAAAAAGATATATCAATGAGATAGAAAAGAGTCAAGGAATAGACCCAAATAAAAGTTACAGTTTAGTTTCTAATAAAAGTGTCATGTCTAATTGATGATGGAAAAGATTATTTAAAAGATTACTTATTTATTTTAACATTTGAAGGAAAAAGTGGATCCTTCATATCTTACTTCAAAATAAATTTTGAATGGATCAAGTGTTTACATTTCAATAAAAATAAAAGGAATACAGGTCCTTAGACTTGTAGAAGAAAGCATGCTGCTTTTATTTGTAATCTTGGATTAGGGCAGACCTAGGCTTCTAAGCAGCTCATTCAACCCAAAAGCCCTAAATGAAAGGACGTTTATTTGGGTGCATATTAAAATTTAGAGTGTTGTTGTAGTGTTAACCTGGAGATTGAGGAGAGCAGAAGCAAAGTTTTAGAGGAGAAAGGAAGGGTCCTGGTATTATTGAGCCTGGTAAGGATTCCCGATGACAGGCTCATGATGTCATCTGATCAGGTACAGCTGACATTAGGCCAATAACAAAGGGTCAGAGACATCAGGGTCAGAAATTTAATCTTGGTCCCCATTGCCTTTTTGAAGATTAGAGTAAGGGAACACAACGAAAAAAAGTATTTTAGAATAGGCCATCTAGAGACAGCATGAAGACAGAACATAGGGACCCCGGAGAGCCGTGAAGACCGCTGCAGCATTGCAGCTCGCTCCTGCTCACTCTTTGGAGGGGAGCTCCCAGCTAGCCTTGTGGTCTTGGGGAAATCTCTCAAGGTTGCAGTGTTTTTACAGGTAAACTGAGGCAGCTGGTCTAGAAGCTTTCAACAATACCTATTTTGATCAAGGTCCTGTAAGAGATACAGAACACAGTCAGATGTTCACCTCTGATAGAACTTTCTAGAGGGGGTGGGTAAAAGTCCTATAGAAATCCTGGCCTGAGAAAAGTGGAGCCTGCCATTGGACCTAGAGCCATCCTGCCAGGCCCCAAATATCCCCCACTTGCTCACTCTTCCTTGATTTTTCTTGATTAGCGTATCACTAGAACATTCTTCTCCGCTGCAAGAAAGTACCTACTATGTACCTCATGGGGACTGGCCTTCAAGGTGTCCAGCGTAAACTTGTAGATCTCAGGATTGGGCTTGGCCATTCCAATTTGGCTTGACTCTATCAGGAAGTCAAAGTGCGGCTTCAGTTCATACATCAGCTGGGCCCAGCAGCTTCTCTGGGGGGTGTCATCCACCCACTTGTTGGTGAGGATGCAGGTTGTAAATCCTGAGCGAGAAGTCACCAGTGAATGGACCAGTTACAGAACTTGACTCTGAGAAACTCTGAGTGGAGCCAAGTGCACTTCTACTCGCTTACATCAATTGCCTGATGCTTGGCATCTAAATTGACAAGTTAGAAAAGAAGCATCTTTACCCTTAAGTACCTCCTGACACAGAGGCACGGGTGAGCCAGCTGTGTACATGAGGGCTTTCAGAAGCCCAGATGGAGATGCTGCATTCCTTAATTCCTTGCAATTGTAGACATTTGTAGAGGTTGTGACATTTGTTAGTTCATTTGATCCTTATCATATTTGGGCTGGGCAGGTCAGATCTTACCATCCCACTTTTTCCAGTGAGCGAACCAGAAGCTCAGACAGTTGACGAGCTGCACCATTCATACCGTGAAGACAGAGCCACGTGGGGCCCAGAATCCTGCCTTCAGACTGCCACTCCAACACACCTTCCGGTCTATGCTATTGCAAACTCTGCTCGACTATGTTTCAAAACACCTGCTTTGGCTTTCAGAGACTGCATTGCCATTTTGAAACTACAGACATGTAAATAGAGATAGCAGTACCCTCAGTCTCTCTCTGTCTAAACAGAGAGGGCAAGAACCAGGAGATACAGGAAACGAGACCGCTGAATCAAGGGTGTGACACTTCTCACGTAATATGAGTGAGAAATATGACATGGATGGCTTAGCCACAGTCAGGTAAGTACTGATAAGTGGGTGGAATGATTTCAAATATGCTTGTGAAGAAGAGTCGGGCTCTGACACTAAAGGAACGGCTACTGAATGAACATGAGCTCATGTTGTAGACCATTTGACACCTTCTCAATCCAGGTCAGCCAACTCATGGTTCATCATTGTGCCAACCAGAGGTTGAGAAAATCATAATTGCTTAAAAAACCTTATTTTTAAACCACTGTGGCAAGAGGTTGGGTCATTCGGGTCATTACTAGCGTCGTCAGAGGGAGAGAAGTTTGCCCACAAGGCAGGCTCTGGCATGGATTGCTTCATTAAATAAAACTCTTTCATTTTCCTAGCCATTCTGATAGTGCTGCTTTTTGCCATCTGGTATAACTTACTTTGGGGCTACATTTTAAGAATTGCTTTCCTTCAAGGCCCAGATAATCTGATATCTCCAAACACATTTAGATGTATTCTGACCTAATCCTGCCAGAGGTTCTGGTGTGGCTGGGTCAGAAGATGGCCAGCACTGTGTCCTTACCTTTCTTTCTGAGAGTGCAAGCTGCCTGAAGCATGCGGTGGTTGACCTTCCTTTCTGAAATAGCCTTGCAAAAGATTTGTTTTATAGAGAAATTCTCAGGGAGGGAGATTCCACAATCCTTGGAGTGTTTCCTGCAGTCTTCTTCTATAAGTGGCACCCACTGTAGAAGTAAATTGTCGAGGGACTGTCAATTGGCACAATCTTTTGCAAAGACTTTTGGCAACATTTATTAAGTCTGAACATATGCATTCCCCACGATTCAACAATTTCATTCCTGGACACATACCCAATGGAAAATGTCTACGTATGTTCATTAAAACATGCACAGAAATGTTCATAGCAGCATTATTCCTAAGAGCCCCACACTGGACAATATTCAAATGCCCCTCTTACGGGCTGAATTGTGCCTTCCCCAATTCTTTCTGAAGTCCTAACCCCCAGGACCTCAGAATGTGACTGTCCTTGGAGACAAGGTCTTTAAGATGTGATAAGGGTAAAATGAGGTCATGGTTTGGCCATAATCCAATCTGACTGGTGTCCTTATAAAAACAGGAGATTAGGATACAGACACTGGTGGAGGGAAGACCTTGTGAGGACTCAGGGAGAAGACGGACATCTACATGCCAAGGAGGAAGGCCTCAGGAGAAGCCAACCTTGTGAATACCTTCATCTTGGGCTATGAGCCTCCAGAGCTATACTATACATAGTCTTCGAAGACTTTCCTCCCATTCTTTCTTGAACACACTCTAATTACACTTTCACTTCCACGTTCCAGAGACACCTCTCGGCAAAGTTACCGGTGACCTCCTCATTGTGTTGCTGTATCTAATGGGCACTCATCAGTCTTCATTTTTTTTTTCTGATCAGCTGCATTTAACACAGCTGATCATACTCTTCGTCTAAAACTTGATAACCTCTTGGCTTTCAGGACTCCATACTCTCTTGATTTTCCCCTTACAATGGAGATGTATTCTCCATCTCTGATTGCTGGGTCTCCTCACCAACCTGACCTGTAGGACTCGGATCTCTTCTCTTCTCCATTTATACTCTCTTTCTCCATGATCGTATTGAGTCCAATGGTGTTAAAAATACCACCTACCTGCTGTAAATACATGTATTCAACCTCAACCTCTTCCTTGAACTCTGGGTTTGTATATCCAGCTGCCTATTCCACATTCCATTTGGATATCAATAAACATTTCAAATGAAAATATCCCAAACTGAGTCCTGATTTCCCAACCACTACAGCCATCATCTCTGTTTCATTTAAGAGCACTCCATACTTCCTGTTTGCTTTGGCCAGAAACCTGAGTCATCCTTAACTTCTCTCTCATGACTCCCACTCAATCCATCAGGAAAACCTGTTGAATCTACCATCAAAATATTCTCAGAATTTGACCACTTTTTACCACTTCTACCAATATTACCTTAATTTAAGCCGCCATCATCTCTCTTCTGGTTTTTCCAATAACTGTCTTAACTAATCTCTGTACAATGATCCCTGCCTTCTTGGTCTATTCACATAGCAGCCAGGGTGAGGTTTTAAAAATACAAGTCAGATAACATCACTTTGCTTCTCAAAAATCTCCCAATGCCTTTTCATCTCGCTCAGGGTGTAAAATATAGAGAAAAAAAAAAAAGAAAGAAAGAAAAGAGAAAACTATCTACAGCTTCACATAATAACATCTATAATTCTCATAAATATAATGTTGAGGAAAAGCAGTCAGATGAAAAAGAGTGTGTCTGCATGACTCCATTTACATGAAGTACAAAGCAGGTAGAAGCGATCAGCAAGGTCAGAGCCGGGATTTGGAGGGTTAGTGTGCAGAAGGGCCTAAGCGGGGTGACTATGGTGCTGATAATGTTTTATTTCTTAATCAAGGTGCTGGTGACAGGGTGTATTCAGTTTGAAAATTCATCAAGCTATACACTTTGTGTACTTTTTATTTGTACAATATATATAAAAGTTAAAAGATGAATTCACTCCTAAAGTATGACTCTTTAAAAGACTATGGAACCTAAGTAGCCTTTATCATAGTATATTTGGTTTTTCAGTCCTCTTCCTCTAACCTATTTGAGCTTCACAGAAGCTACACACAGGCTAAAGAAGTCTAAATGGGTGTAGGATTTTCATAGCAAGTACTAGAAATTCCCTCTATAATTCCTATGTTCATTGAAAATATACAGGGTCCGGCAGAAGTAAGGCCTGCTTGAGTGTGGTTGGTAGGGTAATAATATGGGTGTAATAACTTATAGTTTTAATTTGAACATTTCACCTAAAATGTCATTGGTGTGTTTGAATATGATATTGTTATATTACAGAATTACATGCTTATGATTTTATAATAAAAGATTTTGTGATAAAAAAGGGGTGTTATGTGTGCCAGACCCAGTACAATACTTACTTCTTTCATTGCCTTCCAACAATATCTCTGCAGATTTTTTATTGATTCAAGCTTAGTAACATTTATTCCCAATGGTATCATTCCAGTTTATATTCACCCATGTGCGTGTGTGAGAGAAGGTTTTAAAGTTACTGCAATTAATTATACCTCCCACACTAAGACCACACTTGCCCTCACAGAAAAGGTGGGCTCTTGCTTCCTACAATAGGAGGCTCCAAATTCTCTGGCTGACCTATAAGTGACTGTAATTCATAAAAATTTTTAAATATATAGACAGTTTTATCTGTGCACTTATAGAGCACATTATTAATAGCCTTTCTTCTTTGAGGAATTAATAGAGATTTCAAATTATTTTCAATCCTGATTGCTTTGTTAAAAAATAATTGAGGTTATAGTAACAATAATTACTATTTTTGAGCACTTACTATATGTCAGACACTGTGCTAAGCACTTTTTGAGCTTTATAACAGCCTATGAAATGGATACTATTATCACTCTCATTTTAAAAATGGCAAAATTGAAACTTTGAAGGTTAAGCAAGTTGCTGAGGTCACACAGTCTATAAGTGGAACCTATGGTTCAAATCCCGACCTCTGACTCCAAAGGCCACACATGGTATAGTTAACAATTAACATTCCTCCTCCCCAGTGGCCCTGTCTGAAAATAGCCACTCCAATGATGACCACTATAAAAGAGAGAGAGAGAGAGAAAATAACGTGGGTTGGCAAAGATGTGAAAAAAGTGGAACCCTTGTGCACTGTTGAGGGTAATGTAAAATGGTGCAGCAGCCATAGAAAACAGTATGGTGGCTCCTCAAAAAATGAAATATAAGATTATCATATGATACAGCAGTTTTACTTTTGTACACATATCCAGAAGAATTGAAAGCAAGGTCTCAAACAGATTTTTACACCCATGTTCCTAGCAGCATTATTCACAATAACCAAAAGCTGGAAGCAACCCAAGTGTCCATCAATGGATGAATGGATATACTAAATGCGGCATATACATTAATAGAAAAAAGGAACCTAAGTAGCCTTTATCACAGTGTAATTCCCTTCCTACAAGGAAGGGCGTCCTGCCACATATTACCCCGTAGACGAACCCTGAAGACATAACGCTAAATGAAATAAGCCAGTTACACAAAGACAAAATATTGTACAATTCCTCTTATATAAGGCACCTAGAGTAGCTAAATACATAAAGACAGAAAGTGCAGTAACAGTTACTGGGTGAGGGAAGGTGAACACGAAGTTATTGTTTAATAAGCATAGAATGTCAGTTTTGCAAGATGAAAAGAGTTCTGGAGATGCATGGTGTGCAGTGTGAATATACTTAACACCACTGAATTGTATGCTTAATAATAAAGTTGGTAAATTTTATGGTATGTGTATTTTACCACAATTTAAATTTTTTAAAAAAGAAGAAGAAGAAGAAGAAGCAGCAGCAGCAGCAACAGCAGCAGCAGCAGCTATTCTGGTAACTCCCTGGCCTAGATCTTCGAAGGTTTGGAAATTTCCTTGTCATTGGGGTATGACCCTCTGCGTGGCCCAGAGAGACAACAAAGCAGTCCAAGATGTCTTTGTGTGCTCCAGGCCACCAGCCCATCTTGTGTGTGTGAGGTAAATGCCATGGGGGATGCACGGGTGAAGCAGGCACGGCTCTGCCCTCACTGGGCGGTGGCCAGTGCGGGAGACGGGCGTGCAGGCACAGAACGCCTTCTCATGGGAGACTACGGGGTGTCCCCTCACCTGGGAAAACATGATCTCTCCCTTTGCGGTACGGGCAGTGACACCATCCAGGCCTCCTTTCTTGAAAACTTCATTCAGGAAGCCTCTGGAAGACACAATGTCATGAACATTCCAAAGACTTCATCACAGTGGCATAGGGGGACAGACATTATTTATACCTATAGTAGGCAGTTAGACGTGAGCAGAACAAGGACAATGGACCGGGTACCGAAAGAAGGTCACCAGGGCAGAAAGCTCTGGGTGCCTAGCAAGGGGCAAAACTGGGAAAAGAAGGACGTCACCCCCAGGATAACCTCTCCTCGCCTATCGCTGGTCATGCAGTTTGGGCCCCCCACCCCTTACCTTTCATATCACTGGTCATGTGGCTCAGACCTGCTCCTGACCTTTCCTCCCCCAGAATGTCACTGGTCACGTAGTAGGCCCCTTAGAGGAGCAACAAGGGGCAGAAGAATGACCTCCATGGGAGTAAGCCCTTGCACTACCACTCCTTTAAGCCTAAGGATAACAGCTAGGCCTCAGCTGTGCTTCAGCTCCAGGCCCAGAAAAGCAACAAAACCGGACAAGTGATGCCATGGCCGCCTCAGGACCAGCTGTGATGACTAAGAACCCCTTGCCCTGGTGCTGAGCAATCAGTGGACGGCATGACCATGACTACGACCCTGAAAGGACACATCTGGAAAGCTGATGAATATTCTACTGAGATCCTCCCCTGAAACTCTCCTAAAAGCTACACCCTTAAAAGACCTTAGGATGGAGGACCCTCTCGAGAGCACATCTGCAAATTTCCCATCCACCCCCACGTGTTACCTTTACCCTTCTACCTCCTAAGCTCTAAAGGTCCCTTTTGCCTCTGTAACTTGTTTCCTAAGCCTATTTCTTCTACCTCTGTGACTTCCTAAATAAAATTTCTCCTATAGTTTGAGTCTCAATTCTGAATTCTTTCTTACCCAAAACTCAGGTACCAAGGTTGCTGAACCAAGGTCTGGTCCGACTCTAGCAGTGTAACACCTGGTTCTGTGTGCTCCGTACCAGTATATCCATGGACAAACTGCTATTGGGAGGCATTCTGCCATGGATGGAATGGCGCTGAGTATTTTGAAGATAACCTCCTTTTCTGAGTTCCTCCTACCTCATGCCAATGTTTAAAAATCAGACTGCAGTTTAAGTGATGTCAGAGAGAATAAGCCTAACATTTTAAATATCTATTAGTATGGGTATCAATTAATATAATTTTAAAGGTTAATGATTCTGTAAATTGTGTTATTGGAGTTCAAAGTATGCCAAGTAATGAACTGGTGTTTTCTTTGAGGTAGGAAAAAAATCCTCCCAGATACCATCCACCAAATGGCACTCATGCCCGCAACACTACAGGAGGTGCCGTAGAGGACACAGGAAAGAAATGAAACGTGGTCCTAGTCACTTAGAAATTTTAATTTGATAAGATCAAACTGTTATCTGACGGTTAGGACACAATCTGACTTCATTAGCAGCCAGCACTTGTTATTTGTTGATTTATTCATGAAAGCCATTGTAACAGGTATGAGGTAATATTTCACTGTGGTTTTAACTTTCGTCTCTCTGATCATCAGTGACATTGCCCATTTTTCACATGTGTAGGGGCCATCTGTATGTCCTCTTTGAAGAAGTATCTATTCAGGTCCTTTGCCCATTTTTAAACTGGAATGTTTGCCTTCCTGGTATTGAGTTGTATGAGTTCTTTATATATTTTGGAAATGAAATTCTTATCAGATGTATCACTGGCAAATATGTTCTCCCACCCAGTGGGTTCCCTTTTCATTTTGTTGATGGTTTCTTTTGCTGTGTAAAAGCTTTTTAGTTTGATATAATCTCGTTTGTTTATTTTTTCCTTTGTTTCCCTTGCCCTAGGAGATACAATGGCAAAAATATTGCTACAAGAAATGTCTGAGATTTTATTGCCTGTTTTCTTCTAGGATTTTTATGGTTTCATGACTTACGTTTAAGTCTTTTTAACTATTTTTAGTTTATTTTGGTGTATGGTGTAAGTTAGGGGTCGAGTTTCTTTTTTTTGTTCTTTCTTTCTTTCTTTTTTTTTTTTTTGAATATACCTGTCCAGTTTTCCCAACACTATTTATCGAAGAGACTGTCTCTACTCCATTGTATCCTCTTGCCTCCTTTTTCAAATATTTATTGACTTAAGGTGTGGGTTTATTTCTGGGCTCTCTGTTTCATTTCATTGATCTATATGCCTGTTCTTATGTCAGTGCCAGACTGTTTTGATTATAGAAACCCTGTAGTTTAGTTTGATATCATGATTTGTGATCCTTCCAACTTTTTTCTCCTTTCTCAAGATTGCTGAGACTTTTGGGGGGCTTTTTTGGTTCCATATAAATTTTTGGAATATTTGTTCTAAATCTGTGAAATATGCCATGGTTATTTTAATAAGAATTGAGTCGAATCTACAGGTTGTTTTCAGTAGTATCTTAATTCTTCTAATCCATAAATACAGTATATGTTTCCACTTATCTGTATCTTCCTCAATTTCTTTCTTCAATGTTCTATAATTTTCAGAGTATAGGTCTTTTACCTCCTTGCTTAAATTTATTCATAGGTACCTTATTTTTGTTGTTGTTGTTGTTGTTGCAATAATAAATGGGATTGTTTTTTAAATGTCTCTTTCTGGTAGTTCATTATTGCTGTATAAAAATGTCACCAATTTCTGAATATTGACTTTTATCCTGCTACTATGCCAAATTCTCTTATTAGGTCGAGAAGTTTTTTGGTGGAGTATATAGGGTTTTCTAAGTACACTATCACGTTGTCAGCGAGTAATGACAGTTTCACTTCCTCCTTTCTAAGTTGGATGCCTTTTATTTCCTTTTCTTCTCTGATTGCTGTGGCTTGGACTTCCAGTACTATGTTGAATAAGAGTGGTAAAAGTAGACATCTCTGTCTTGTTCCTGATTTTAAGGGAAATGCTTTTAGTTTTTGCCTTTTGGGTATGATATTTGCTGTAGGTTTGTTATTTATGGCCTTTGTTATGTTGAAACATGCTCCCTCTATTCCCACTTGGCTGAGTGCTTTTTTCATAAATGGGTGCTGGATTTTAACAAATGCTTTTACTGCAACTATTGATATGATTATGTGATTTTTATTCTTACTTCTGTTTATGTGATATATCATGTTTATTGATTTGCAAATATTGTACCAGCCCTTCCTTCCTGGAATATAACCCACTTGATCATGGTGTAAAATCTTTTTGATGTATTGCTGGATCTGGTTTGCTGTTTTAGCATCTATGTTCCTCAGGGATATTGGCCTATAATTTTCTTTCTTTGTAGTGTCTTTATATGTTTTTGAAATTAGGATAATGTTATTCTCATAAAAAGAGCTTAGAAGAGGGAAAGGTTAATAGGAACTTTTATTTTCTTTTTACATAATTCTGTTCATTTGAATATTTTCATAGTAAAAATATACTTGTGTATTAGTTGTATGATTAAAAACCCATATGTAAATTTTTTTTAAAAAATAGGAAAGATATTTTAAAGAGTACAGAAAAACCCAGAGGGGCAAAACAGCACATGCAAATCCAGAAACTGTGCCAGGTGTTCCTGGAAGCATTCAAGAAATATTTGTGCTGAAATAATACACAGGTTACAAATAAGAAGCCCTAGTTCTCAAATACCCTTTCTGTATTTGCTGATCACTTGTTTCTTTTACTCAAAACAAAATTTTTGCTTAGCATTGCATGTAGAAAGCACTTCAAATTCTAAAGTATAGAGTTTTGAAAGAAATTGACACTTTTTTCTTTCAAATTAGTTTTGTTTTTCATTGTGGTTTATATTCAGTACTATTTTGTATTAGTTTCAAGTGGACAGCACATTGGACGATCACTACTTCACGAAGTGCTCCCCCCAATATTTCCAGTGCCCACCTGGCACCACACACAGTCATTACAATATTGTTGACTATATTCCCTAGGCTGTACTTTACATCCCTGTAACTATTTCGTAACTGCCAACTTATACTTCTTAATCCTTTCACCTTTTTCACCCAGTCTCCCAACCCTCCTCCCCACTGCAACCATCAGTCTGTTCTCTGTACCTATGAGTCTGTTTCAGTTTTGTTGGGTCAATTATATTGTTCTTTAGATTCTACATATAAGTGAAATCATATGGTACCTGTCTTTCTCTGAGTGACTTAAGAAACTGACACTTTTATCTTCCCTCGTGTTCAGTCTAATGGCACCAGGCAGACCCTCCACAATGAAGCACACATGTCACCTCTGGATCTCAAGGAACCGTCCCTGCTCCTTCAGATCACATCAGCCTCGATTGCTGAAGTGACCACCCTCCCCAGCAGCCTGACCCTCAGAAGACCCTGGTCTGGATGGCCACACCAAGAATGGAGCTTGCCCCTCTGCCCTTCGCTCTATGACACTGGAAGAAGCTGCATCTTCCTGGCCCACCCTGGGTATTCAACAATCTCCACTTCGGAGTTCCCAAACGGTCACTTGGGCCCCCATCACCTTGTCCTTGGGCAGGATTTACAGATGACCAGGACCTTCATCCCCTCCTCTCCTGACAGTTTCAGCACCAGGCTCATAGGCTCCCTTTGCCCTTCTCTGCGCCCCGTAGGCCAGGCTTTTCATCTTCCATGCCAAGGACCCTGCGAACTCCTAGCTCAAGGTCTTGTTCACTTTAATTCGAACCTCCATCAGGCTTCAACATCAGTCCACACAGCTCTGCCTCCAAGCTGCCAAGCTCTCGGATCTTACTGTAAGTGGCACCTCTTTCTTCTTACCAATGCACTAGATCCACCACCCCAACAATCAGCTACCTTGAGTTACAGCATGGATTATTTTACTCATTTTCCACCCCATCTCAAAACCCCTCAATCACCTGCTATCAAAGCAGATACATGCTTAGCCTGACTTCCACGTCACATTTCAATGCAGGCCAAGCCAACATCCCCACTTCTCTTTTGTGACTCCCCTCCTCCAGCTACACTGGAATAGTCAGTGTTATTGTGCAGCCAACTTCCAGCCTTTTCTCATGCTGTACCCTCACCTGGGAAGCTCTCCCTTCACATCTCTCCCCATCAACCTCTTACCAGTCTCCTCAGGGTCTGCCTTCATTCAGGCTTTCCTGCTTCTCCTGGTCAGACCTGATGCCTCCCTTCCTTGAAACACCTAAGAACTTCGTGTCTCTTACAGCACTGCCTTCATCTTGAACTTGGCCTATCTGTGGATGTCTGGGCTTTCATACCATATGCCAAACTTGTTGCAATAGACCTTTCAGGCTCACCTTCTCAATTAATGTCTCCATGGTTCCTTTACAGACTCCACAGGTCAAGATCAAAGCCATGGGCTCTGACCTCCTGGAATTAGTTTTGGAGTTTTTTGTTTGTTTGTTTGTTTTTGCTGCTGGGAACAATCCTAATCATGGTCATAAGGAGTGTGTGAACCATTGCAACACTAGGTAAATGGAAGATGCCCAATAATCACTTTGCATATGCATGAGATTTTTGTAAAAAAAAGAAATGTATCAGGAACACAGCTGCCCATCCACCTTGCATGTTATTTAATTTTACCCTCACAAAAATGTCTAGGGGAAGGTATTTTCTTATTTTAAGATCAAGACTATGATCTTAGATGGCAGGTGTTAAGAACTGAGATTTTTAATCTAGGTTTGGCTCAGAGACCAGTGCTCTTTTAAATACCCCACATTTGTGCCCTGGACGGTGTGGCTCAGTTGGTTGGAGTTTCGTCCCATAGGCCAAAAGGTTGCAGGTTGAATTCCTGGTCAAGGCACATACCCAGGTTATGGGTTCAAGCTCTGGTCAGGGTACATACAAGAAGGCAACCAATTGATGTTTCTCTCTCTCTCTCTCTCCCCACCCCCTTCTATCTCTCTTAAAGCAATAAAAAAAATGTTCTTGGGTGAGGATAAAAAAATTAAATTACTCCTCATTTATATACTTGTGAATTGTATCCTCAAAAGTCATATTCACCCCCACATTGATGAAGTCACAAGTATACCTCATTGCTTACTCTCTTTTTATGTAATTTAAAAAAAAAATCTAATGTATGGGTCAAAAAGAAATAAAACAACACTCTGGTTAAGACACTACGTCTTCTAGAAAATAAGTTCACTAATCCTTCCTCTGCTTCTCCCTCTAGCAAAGGATCTGAATGGACAAGTCTGAATCAGGGGTGGCTTTCCACTTTCAATAGTCTCTCAAATAGTAATGACCTGGGATGTGGTTATCTTAATTTGGGCTTTGTAACTACTTTAATTTGGTTTATTGACAACAAGGAACTATTGATATGTTTCCAATTCATGTTGATATTTTGATATCAATTTACTATTGACACACTCATTATTGGTGCATTTACTCACCCTCTACAGAGTAACATCTTTTCCAGAATAGCCAAGGGATCAGGGAAGTCACAGTGAACTACAGAGGAAAGAATCCTAGACCAGGAGGCAGAAAAATTGCATAGCCTATGTCTAATTACCACGCGACCAAGTACACCCCCTTGCTCTGCCTGTTTCCACATTTGTAAAAGGGAGGACTGCTCTAGATTTGGGGCCCCCTTTTGGCTTGGTGTGCTTGCAGACACCAGTCTTTTAAATCTTTATAAGTATAGCAAGTTAAAAAGCCTTGTTGGACTTTTTGCTATCACAAGGATTCTATAGTTCCTTAAACCGGGCAGAACTCTCAAAGCTTCTGTCCTGTCCCTTATCCTTGGCAGCAGTGAAGCATTTACTCCTCCTTGGGTATTGCCAAGGTGATCTTTCTTTCCTTCTTTTTTCTTCCTTAAATTTTAAAATAAATATGTTTCCTTCCTCCTGATTATAGGTATAACATGTTAATAAGTAGAAAACCTGAAAAATACAAAAAAAAGTAGAAAAAGAAAATAATTCATAATCCCACCTGGGATTCATAATCCCAGGGATATTTGGGGATATTTCTTCCTGTCATTTTTCTGTATATAGCTCTTCCCCCATAGTTGAAACCAGATTGTAGAAATAGTTTTACATTATTGTGGATCTGTTCTTTTCCAATGTCACTGCAGTCTTATCCTGAAAGTCATGTTTAATTGTGATGCGTCCTAGTTTACCATTTCCTAATGATTAGGTTTTGAAGCTGTTTCTCTGTTACAACAAGTAAATCCTCAAGCCACAGGACTTGTTTCTCTTCAAAATCTCAAAAGGGCCTTTAAAATCCATTCCATCCCTGGTGGGTATGGCTCTGCTGGTTGGAGCGCGACCCTGTGGACCGAATGTGTGAGGGTTCGATTGCTGGTCAGGGCACATACCCAGGTTTGGGATGCGGATGGGAGGCAACCAGTTGATGTTTCCCCTACATAGATGTTTCCCTCTTTCTTCCTTCCTATCTCTGAAAGCTATGAGGGGGAAAAAATCCTCGAATAAGGATTAAAAATATATATGAATAAAATGAAATAAAATTCCTTCCATCACACAGAATTAGGCAGGCAACAGCTAGCTCAACAAATAGCCCCTCTCACTTGAGGAAAAGCTTTCCCTATAGAGGACAATTTTGGAGTCCTTGGAGAGGTTTAATTACTTAGCATTTAGAAAGACACTGTATCTACTTACACACTCTGGTGTTTTAGGGTCACGTAATTGTTTTAACCTTTCTGAGGCAACGTCTAGCCAGAAATTCCGTCCCGTAGGGGACGGACGCACCTGCGTGGGCCGGGCGCCCGGGTTCCCTTACCTGGGCAATGCCAGTGCCTCCTCGGAGCGGCCAAGGGCTCTGAAGACCGATGGCAGCCCCAGGACCCCGTCCAGGTCGAAGACGACCGCTCGCAAAACCATCGCAACCTGAGCTTCAGCCTAACCCAGCTGCACCAAGTGTCCCGAGGCTGGACTGGAGCGCGAATCCGCCGCTCCCAGGTCCCCCATCTAGCCCCGCTCGAGCCCCAGTCCCGCCCAGGCGTCCGTCTCCGCCCCGCCCCTTGTCCTGGGATTCGTCACTGCCAGAGGTCTCGACTTGAGTCCCGGCCCCTTTTCTCAGAACACCCTGCCGAGCTGCCTCTTAGGACACGGTCACACCCTTTCAGCCTCCTCAGTGACCGCTGGCCATCACGGGCCCCGCTCCCTGCCCTGGTTTTGCTTGGGTCGCGTCCCATCCAGAGTTCCTTTTGCCTACCCGCACCCGCACCGACTCCGTTTCCGTCGCTTCCCGGGACCTGGACCCGGCACTAGAATAGCATCTCTGGATGAGACGACTACTGTCGCCGATATTTAAAGTCCAAAATACCCCCGCGCTCCCACAGTAGTTCCTTGAAGAGGCAAATTCAGGCTCCAGGACGTGCTGACCGTTTAATGCGAACTTGCCAGAGTTTCACCGGTCTGGGCAGGTGTAGAGAGAGGGGAGGCCTGAGAAAGAGTCAAGGCCTCACACTGACCCTTGAAGTGTATGTGTGTGCTGTCGAAATCTTCTTCCTTCAATATTGGGATCCTTGTGTTATTCTGGATTGGCATATCCAGTAAACTAATAGCTTTGTTGCCATTCCTTTGTAGAGTCGGCACATACATTCAGATTTCTCACTATCCTGACCACGCTCCTTTTAATTCTAGAAATGCATTTTGCTCTGGTTATGGTATACCGGTCCAGAATACATACTTTCCCATCTTGTGGAATAGGGCTTAGAAGAAATAAGTCCAGACTACTTATGACTTTTTTTTTTTTTTTTTTTTTTTTTTGGTACTTTCTACTTGTACTAATGCCACCTAAAACTGTGCGGTCTTTGTTTAAATCACAGATTTCACACTATTGGCTCATTTGTGTTGCTGGAAAATCTAAAACTTTGCTTAAGAGTGTCTGGGTGATGCTTGCATAGTGGCTGTTGGCGTCTCCACACCTTTGCAGTGTCACTCCACGAATTAAAATATGCTTTGGTCTAGTGTTCCAACTTGCTGAGAGCTGGGCTTGGTACACAGACAATGGAGATCTCCTCTTGAATGTGTCATCCATGAATTTATACAAGAGATTCTCCCCTACTTAGCTAGAAGAATGTGTGTGAGAGATTGTTAGATGCCTTTCTGAAGTCAGCAGGTACTGAATCTACAGCATTCCAATCATCAACATGATTGATAAGAGAAATGAATCTATTTCAGAGTGTTTTGTTCTGATGAACCGTGTTCATGCTTACTTCTCTTGCTTTATAACCTCTTCTAGGATCTAACTTGAGACGGGTTTTTTTTAAAGATTTTATTTATTTATTTTTAGAGAGAAGGGAAAGGAAGGAGAAAGAGAGAGAAGGAAACATAAATGTGTGGTTGTCTCTCACACACCCCCAATGAGGACCTGGCCCCCAACCCAGGCATGTGCCCTGACTGGGAATCAAACCCGTGACCCCTTGGTTCACAGGGTGGCATTTGATCCACTGAGCCACACCAGCCAGGGCACCTGAGACAGTTATTAATGTTTTCTGAGATCCACTCCTAAGAGACAGAAAAGCAGTCAACAGTGCTGAATGATGCAAAGAGAACAGAAAAGAAACCATTCAGTTTTGGACTTGGAAGACACTGGTGACCTTTTTCAGAATCCTTTCTGTAGAATTTCTTGAGGCAGAGCTATATTACCCTCGGGTTGAAGACCAAGAGAGGTAAAGAAGTGAATACAGTAGTCTCTCAGGAAGTTGGTGGCCTCAAAAGTAAAACTGAATCTAAAAAAGGAACGTAAATTGCAGCATGAATTATATAATATAAAACCTATAAATCTCCACTCCACACCACTCCAAACAACTGAAATCTCCAAATTAGACTTTCCTTTGGTCTCCACACTTGCATATCCGACTTCTTACTCAACATCTCCTTTTGAATGCCAGGTGACCCAAAGGTATGGCTAAAACGGGACCCTCGCTCCATTCCCAACTCCCAAGCCTTTCCTCCACTATGTTCCTGTTTCACTAAATGGCATCTCCACTCACTCAATTGCTCAATCCAAAGAACTTGGAGCTGCTTCTGGATGTTTGGTTCCCACCTAAACCATGTACTTGAACTCATGCCCGTGCTCGCCTGCTGACTGGGGCAGAAGCTGCAGCTCTCAGTGCAGAACTGGTGCTCTCTCAGAGCCTTTCTGAAAGGTCAAGACTGAAATTCACTCCTGCATTCCTTTCAAAGTTTTTATAGACTCTTAATTTCCTGTATTAAATATCTATTTAAAATAATTAGAGTGGTTTCTGTTGCCTGACTGGTACAGTACTGTTGATGAATACATATATATGCTTGTAAAAAAAAGTAGCAAAGCAAAGAAGAAGGACACATTGACAGAACTGGATTTTATAGATCCCTCTTTTGAGAAGGAAAATAAGAAACTTAGATTATGAGTCTTTGCTTTAAGATGGGAATAATCTTTGGTTAAGAGGAAAATATAAAACTGTCACTTGGACTTTCAATCATTCAGGGACAGTGAATCAGTAGATTGACCAATACTCGAAACTCTTCATTGTGCCTTTGGGGACATGCTGACAATCACCGCGCCCTCTGGAACTTCAGAGTTATCATCAGTAAAACCTCTTTTCTATTCTCTTTCCCTCCTTGCTCTGTCTGAAATCTGGCTCTACCCTGGGACACCTGCTTCTGCCGTTCTCCCCTCCTGCCCTTGTCCCACTGGCAGGGGATGGGGTAGACATCCTTTTTAGTCTTTGTCGCTGCCAGATCTTCCCTGAAGATTCATAACATCAACCTTGCCTCCCCAGATGGTACTGCTTCCCACCCACCAACTCTATTGCTCTTCTCTGGTCTGCTCTCTCTCTTAATCTCTCAGGAGACTGTACAATAAATTTCTTTCCTCAGTTTCTCGTGCTTTTCCCCCATCATCACTCTCAGCCAGTATCTTGGCTTCTTGTCTTACTGAGAATATTAGAGCAACCAATAAACTTCCACAAACTCCCACCCCTCTGTTGACTCACCTGCTTGTAGCTGTGGCCATTTCTACTGTACCTTTTCTCCAGCTGCAGTGATCAGCAGCATCTGTTCCAGCCTAAGCCCAACTCTACCACTGAGGCATTGGATTTGGTATCTTTGTAGGCACAGGGACAATCCCTCCTCCTCATCATTAGTTAGCTACTCTACTGAATTGTCCCATTCATGTACCAACTGCAATGGACTGAATGTTTGTGACTCCCCTTCATATGTCGAAGCTCTAATCCCCATTGTGATGATATGGGGAGATGGAGCCACAGCTTGGCTGGCTTAAATTTATTTCTCATGGTTCTGAACCCCTATTTGGAGCTCTACATGTTAGCACCTCAGTTATGGGAGTACTGCTTGCTTTGCGTGTGTGTAGTCCAGGTCTCACAGACTCAGAAGATCCTCCCAGTTTACCCCCCATTAAGGTGGGGGATCCCTGTGTGGAACTAAGACCCCTTGCTCTGGGGGAGGAGGGAGCTCCCAAACTGTGATTTCTGTCTGGTCTCTCAGCTGTGACAGGAGCCACGCACAGGGTATCTCCCCTTCCGCTTATAAAAGCCCCCCTCACTTGATGGTACGAAGCATCTTCTGTACTCCTTGGCTTCAGAGCTTCGTACCTGCTAAGATTCCGTTGATTGTTCAGGTTGGTTGTCAGATCAGCTGAAAATCACAGTTAAGGGCAGGAGCAAGTGGACTCAGCTTCCAACTTGGTCAAGATCTTTGGAACACTGGGTACAGATTTTAGAACAATGATATGTAAGCAATTGTGTCAAAGTGTAAATATGCAAAGTTGGCTATACCTTAATGTTAGGAACCAAAGAGTTAGATTTAGGGGAGCTTCCCAGCATTTAAACTTCTTTTAAATATCTTGGGGGATGTCCTCACCTCGAAGGTGGCATAGCCCACTTTCCACATAGACCCTCAAACACCAGATCTTGCTTCCCCAGCCTCCGTTTTGTCTAGTTCATGGGCACATGAATAATCAGATGCATCTGTCCTGACCTTTGTATTGGGAGCTAGTGCCAGAAGAAAGCAGAAACGGAGGAGAATTAATTCTGGCAGCAATGGCAGCAGCACGAATGGCTGGTGTCCAGGCACAGCAGTTACGGCAGCTATGGGACAGTACAAGGCTTTGTATCCATCGCTGCAGTTGCAGCCGGGACCACCATGCTGGCGGTGGCTTGTGATTTTGGCTCCAGTGTGACTGAGGTTTCCCTGTTCTCACCTGTGCCCCAAATGCGTTCTCCAGCTTCCTAAGTGCTTCTGTGGACTACCCATTTTATCCATTTGTCCTTGGATAAAATCATGTGTTGCTTAAAAGTTAATCAACATGTTTTTATTTGCTTGTAACCAAAAACCCTGATTGAAACAATCTATGATTATTCTCTTTCTTTCCTCATTTCTCTTCCTTCTTTTCTTCCTTCCTTCCTTCCTTCCTTTGTCTTATTATCTTTCTTTTTTTATAATCATTCTATTTTATTATTAGTTATTGTTATTAATCTCTAACTGTGCCTGATCTATAAATTCAACATTATCATGGGTGTTCGGTACTATCCAGAGTTTCAGGCATGCACTGGGTGTCTTGGAACATATGCCCATGGGCTATTGTTCCAAGGAGGGCTATTGCAGTACTAGCGCCATTTTGAGTGACGTGAGGTGTGGCCAGAGCCAGTTAAGACTTGACTGACTCTTAACCAGTTCCTTGAGCCTCACTTTCTCCTGTCAGATTAGGCAAGGAATGTAGCTTTCTTAGCAAATAGTACATGATTAGTAAATGTCCACCTTAATTCAGAGGGGTTTTGAGGCCATCCTGATGAGAAACTGGTGGGTAGATAGGGGACCAGTCCTACCACATTCCACTGTGACCTCAGGAAGAGAGTCACTTTTCTTCTCTGGGCCTCAGTCACCCCATCTGTACCTGGAAAAGGGTAGAGTGCCAAGCCTCAAAGGCCATTCCTATTCAAACTGTTTTTA